CCTTGCAGAAGGCTTCTTCCTTGCAGAAAGAGGTTTACCAATGTAAGAAAAAACCCTCTGTTCTTTTGATTTTTCTTTCGAAAGAACGCGATTGCAGTGTGGACGTAATTCAAGTTTTGTCGGAAAAATGGCCATTTTTCTGGAAAAAACTCTGTAGTGTAGACATACCCAAATTCTGAAGCATCTGATGTCCTTCCCAACATTCAAGGACAGATTCACTAGAGCATGCTGCCTCTTTTGTTCTGTTGCAAAGCAACTGGGTTGTGCCAGGAAACCTGACTTCTAGATACTCTTTCTGATTTCTCATTCATTACAATGAAGTTGATAGTGGGAGACCGTGAATCCATTTTGGGGAATATATCCTTTACCTCTGAAATAAATGGAGGCTGCCGTTGGTTTCAGTGACTGAACAATCAAATCCTTGGGGAGTTTGATTTTGCAAGCAAACCCAAAGCAACTTTCTGGTTATTAATCTGGCACTAAAAGGTCACACATTAATCGGGAGAGTGGTGGGGATGCAAATACACTTGATACTTACTTTTTAGCTAGCTCCATGGATATTTGCTCTAAAGAGCATCCCTTTGTCTCTGGTATAAACCCAATGATGAAAGCCAGTGATGCTAGACTCATTATTGTATAAATGAAACACACCCATGGCAGACCAATTAGATCTATAAAAGAAAAAAAAATTGTTAGTATTACAAGAGGGTTTTTAGGCAATCTCATTGAAACTGGGATTGACAGCATTGAGCCCTCTTATTTGAAAGTAACTATTATGCTAAGGTGTGTCAGAGGAGTAGCCATGTTCGTCTGTAAATTTAAAAGCAATGAGTAGTCCTGTGGCACCTCAGAGACTAACAAAAAGATATAGAAATATATATCTAAAGCTCATGATCCTATATATTTTTGTTAGCTGCTTAGGGCATATCTACACTAGGAAGTTATTTCAAAATAATTATTTGAAATAACTCCCGATTTTACAAAATCGAAATAGCATGTCCCCACAGAGGGGGAGCCTTGGAATCAGTCCGAGGCAGGCTCTGTTACTGTGGATGCACTACCTTGACTTAGAGGCCTAGGGATCACTGGAGAGTAATTACATTGAGTGATTCTGAGGAGTATTTTGAAATAGCAGCAGTGGAGTGTCCACACTAACGCTATTTCACAATAACTATTTCAAAATTAGTGTTATTTCCCAAGGAAAGCAGGAGTTATTATTTTGAAATAATGGGCTTGGTAATGTGGATGCTCTACTTGTTATTTCAAAATAAGAGGGGTTATTTCAAAATAACCAGCGTAGACCAGGGCTAAGGTGCCACTAGAATATATATTATGCCAAGGTATCCATGGCCAATCTGAGGCTTGCAAGCCGCATGCGGTTCTTCCCTGTCCCCCGGGTGCAGCTTGAGAAGCCCCTTCCCTCTTCCTCCAGGGCTCGTAAGCCGCCCCTGAGCCCCCAAAAATGGCAGTCCTTTTTTTTTTTGCTCGACAACTTTGCTCCGAATGGGTTGACCACCGCTGTGCCAAGGAAAACTTACGTTTTGAATTGTGCCTTGTGCAGGGGTGCTGGAACAATTTGTACAGCGGGGGTGCTGAGAGCTGATGAACCAAGCTATAAACCCTGTATGTAAAGGAAGGAAACTGCTTCCAGCGAGGGGGTGAAGCAGCATTCCTAGCACCCCTAATTTGAGGCTTGTGCAAACAAAGAAACCACAAGCAGAATTCAGCCCATGTTCTTCTAGCTTGACCTTTAGCTGGTATCCCCCGATTAAAACTGTGCAGGTCTGAAAGGCCACAGGTTCTCTGAAATTCCTCCAACATGTATTTTTGATGTGAACATTTTATGAAGCAAAAATAGTGAATTTAGCACAGTTGTAGTTGTAGTTGTAGTTGCTTCTATTCGATCCTTTCATGCTGGCAGGTTTCTAGTACTTGCATTGCTGACAGTAAGTACACTCTATGCCATTAATGGATCAAGGAGTTAAACCTGTTCCAGTGAATAGCCAGGTTTTGAAAATACATTTGGAACAATGAATACCAGAGATAAAAATCACAATTTCGTAGCATCTGTCAACTTGTGTCATGAGCTGAAAGTTACAGCTAACACTCTGGGCTGTATTGTACACTCAGATATGCAAGTACAACTTGCTTGATTCAATGGAAACTGAATGTACCTTCAGTCTTTTGTCTGAAGATTAACAGCTACAGTTTGCTTGCCTGTGTACATCAGAGTAACTCCACTTTTGCTAGTCTAATTTTTGTGGATTTATAGTCATTTAATGGAACAGAATTTGGCCTAAAATTTCTTCTGAGTTTTAACCAGGGAAAAACAGACTATTTTTCTGTAACCTGTTTTAAATCTGGATTGTACCTCTTCTTGATAACCTAATCTCAACTCTCCATCTAGCATCTATCAGACCTGCAGCAAGTTCTTGACTTGCTTCTGCTTCATTCTAGAGTAGAGCTGATTGAAACTCTGCAGATATTTGGAAACTTGTTTTAGTTTCAAATGGTCTAAAACCAAAAATGCCTTAACTTCTGGTGAAATAAAGTTCTGGAAATAAACTGTTTCATGTTAATCAAATCATTTTAATTTGACTTATTTCTTATTTGTTACATTATAGTTTATGAACAAAGTCTTTTTTAAAACAAACATCATAAAATTTAATTCTGATACTTTTTTCCAATTTTTCCCCGAAATATAAGGTTACCAAAATTGAAACATGGCAGAAATGTGTCCGTTCTGATTAGAAGGGAAAACATTTCACTGGAAATATTTCAACCAGCACTACTCTACAGTAAAAGTCCATTAACCCCAAGGAAAGCAAGATTGAGTCCTAATAATTGTTTTATAACTTATTAGTGAAGAGATCTTTGATAGCCAAGATAAGAGACCTGTGACTCGATTCAGCGATAACAGAAGTTAGTTCCTAAGGGTATGTTTACACTTGCACGGCTATTTCAGGATACCAGCGGTATCCTAAAATAGCTACACCACGTCTACGCAAACTGCCTGTTATTTTGAAATATTTTTCGAAATAACAGGCATGCTATTTCACCATCCCGGTAAACCTTGTTGCATGAGGGATAAGGGATGTCTCGAAACAGTGTGTTATTTCAAAATTTGGCACTATGTAGATGTGTCAAATTTCAAAATAAGCTATTTTAAATAGATTCAAGATAAAATATGCAATTTGCATAGCACAAATTGCATATCTGATTTCAAGTTTAGGGTGCTGTGTAGACGTACCCCAACTCTGATTCCATTGCACTTCCTCAGGCATGTTTATCTCCTACTTTCTGGTATGTGAGTGGAAAGCAGTCAGTGCTGTCAATGAAGTCTAAATTGATCTAGTGTACTCTCTGATGGGTCTGGAAGACTCACCAGCAAATCATCTCTGAATGTGGCCCCTGCATTTTTTTTTTAAGTTTCATTGACTGTTGTGCATATGAGGAAGATTCATTTTCCCACCGACACAGAGGCCCATTGGTAGTTCACTACTATATCAGTAACAATTATTAGGCCTGAAAGACACCTAACATACTGCTGTCAGTGTGTTTCTTTTCCAATGAAAGCCAGTGATACACTGGTCATTAGTATCCTTGTGAAACATTTGTGTTAACATTATGGGGGGAATTATGGACTGGTATTATGCTTTAAAAACTGTAACCAAAGGGAGAAACAGGTTACTCTCCCACTTGTGAGGAAAAAAATTATCTCCCTCGTTGGGATGTAAATTAAGCACAATAATGCAAGAGACACTGAACGATTCATTTTGTAGTGAAAGTAAACAGAAGAAGCAAATTAACATGAGAATGAGGAATCAGCATAGGTAGACCCAGGAATCAAAACCCCAGGGGTTCATTCTGAGTAATGGAAAGGACTAACTTTGGGGACGACAAGGAGGAGCAAAAAGGCACTTTGGTTATCTGTCACTGATGCGACAAAATGTTCAGTGCTGTTTATAACCATGAATGGTTGATCCATGTGGATCCATAAATGGTGGGTTGCTGACACTAAGAAGTGGCCATGGGTGAGAAGATTGCCTTAGACAAGGATTGCAGCCTATTACGTATTTGTGCAGTAATTTCATGAATATAACCCGCCCCCGAATATATCCTGCACCCGAATATACCCCACGTTTTTTTCTATTTGAGTAAAAAAAATCTTGTATACCCCGTGCACAAATACAACCCGCGGGGTATACATGACTTTTCTGTGTCGGGGGTATATTTGCAGGGGGTATATA